GGGCACCCTGCTCCTCCCTCTGCTGCCGATTATGCGCGCAGCCCTCCTCTTCCCGGTAGAGGGAGGGGGAAGCTCCGGACCCACACGCCAGCCTCTCACACCTTAGTTCGTGGCTGAAGCACATCTGGGGCAGAAGTCGGCTCCAGCCTCAGAATTTGCTGGATTTTGTGCCCATGTGGTGTTTCCTGCTGTTTGTGTCGCATTGGCCAGGAGTAACATACTGTACCGAGGGTTACATGCGCTTAGGGCTTCTTTTCCCAGGTGCCACATGAGTACTACCCTTGGGTTCTGGGTTTCCTTCCCTGGTGCTCTCGGGCTGCACTTCCATATGGGTTTCTGCCGCTTGGCAGTTGCCCCGCCCTTTGGGCCAGCTGGGGGTTTAGTGGCCTTTGTTTGGCCTCGTGTAGGAAGTGTTGTTGCTGGTTTGGGGCACGAGATGCTGCTCAGCACACCTACTAACGCAACGGCCGTGTTCCCTGTTGCCTCCTGTTGTGGTTGTGCTTTTCAGGGGGTTTCTTTTTGTTTTGCTTGGAGGAGGTCTTTCTGGTTTGACTGTTAGTCTCCACAAGGTATTTTGGTGGCCCTTCTCTAGGCCCTGTGCTTGTAAACCTCTCAGGGGGTCCAGTTATAGCCCTATTCTGTCTTGTTGATATACATGGACTCAACAGGCTTTGCAGCACCGTTGCCTGGGCTTTCCGTAAGCTGCACCCACTACGGGCCCAGGAAAACCCTGTTGGAGCTTGGCAGACCCATGGATGCATCTTCCAAGTCCCATCTCGTCATGTGCGAGTTTGAAGGTTGCTCTGTCCCCTTGTCTCAGGGTGACTCTCACTGTTTTTGCCTCCTTCACGTTGCCTGTTGGGTCGGTGACACCTTCAACCCAGAGTCCTGCAAGTTTTGTTGCTTGTTAGTGACTTGGTTCACCCAGTCTACTGATGGCATTATTTGGGTGCAGGTAGCACTTGCCAGGTTGATTGCTAACCCGGAAGCCCAGAGGCTGCCTCAATTTGCTTATAGGGACCCGGAGGGTGTTGGTCGTTTCGGCCTTGGTTCAGTCCGCACTCCCTGCTGTGATGCATTCGGGTCCTTCCCCCCCCCCCCCTGCTTCTGGCTCCGAAGCATCTGATGGCTTTGGGGTCGGGGCAGGGTTTAGCTGGTTTTGAGACTCGGGCAGTGTCAAGGGATGCCCCTTCCAGGGTGGCGAGGAAGGCATTCAAGTCGGTTTCTCCAGCCGTAGCATCGGGGTCTGACCAGTGGGGCCCCCCCCTTCCTTCTTGCCTTTCCAGCTGTCCTAGCTTTTTCTCTGAAGCCCCAGGCTGGGGCTTCAGAGGTCAACTCGGGCCCCTGGTACTGGTGTGGAGGTTCCCGGGGTTGGGGAGGGGGGCTGACTTGGGGGCCTTGGGCTTCGTTGCGGACCTGCGTTACATTCTGGACTTGTCCTGTCTGAACCTTTGGGTCTCTTGCCCCTCCTTTCGGATGACTGCTCAGTCCCAGGCTTTGTCTCGCCTGGCTCCAACAGAAGCCGGGGGCTTGGATGGTGTCCCTGGACCTCCAGGATGCGTATTGGCATGTCCCAATTCATCCGGGGTTCAGAGACTGGCTCGGTTTTGTTGTGGGGCATCTCGGTTACCGCTTTCGTTGTCTCCTGTTCAGGTTGAACCTGGCACCTCGCGTGTTCATACGCCTCACCCAGGTCGTGGTGGCCCATCTGCGTCTATTAGGTGTGTGGGTGCTGGCCTACCTCGACGACTGGCTGGTGTGGGCTCCCAGCCAGTCCACGTGTCTGCTTGCCAGGGATTTGGTTCTTTCCCAGCTCGTCGCGTCTGGGTTCCTGATACACTGGCGGAGTTTCCTCTCAGGTTCGAAATTGGTTGGGTGTTGTGTGGGACTCTCGGACCGCTTCCTTGTCTCTCCCTCTGCAGTCAATGCTTTGGCTGTGGTCCCACCTGCGCGTGTTTCTGGGGGGCTACTGGGTCACTCGGCAGTTGCTCGAGAGTTTGTGTGGGATCCTGTACTTTGCCATGATGGTCTACCAGCCGGGTCGAGTTTGGCTTTGTCGGCTGTTGTGGTTCCTTCAGGCCGTCCCTTCTGCCTCTCTCGCGATCACTGGATTTGGCCTCCAAGGGCCTTGTGTCAGGTGCTGCATCGCCGGCTTCCTCTTCAGGTTTTTCAGGGTTCAATGCCTTGGCACCTACCCAAATCTTCGCTCGATGTGTTTACAGACTCGTTGTCTCGGGGATGGCTGGCGGACCCCCATCGTCCCAGGCTGGTGGATCCCCATCGTCCCAGGTTGGCGGATCCCCACCACCCCATGCTGGCAGACCCCCACTGCCCTAGGCTGGCCAGGAACAGTGGGGTTCGTCCTTTTGTTGGGCCCACAGCACTGCACGGGAGTTCATGGCAGGTTGGATGTCGCTTCGAAGGGTTCGGGTCGCTCGCGGATCGACAATCAGGCTCCATTCGGACTGCTCCCCGGTGGTTTATTGCCTGAACCGTGAGGGTTCTTGGCTCTTTGGGGCTAGTCACTTCGGGTGACTCGTCTGCTGAGTTCTCGGCGTTTGACTCTCCTGCCGGTTCACATTTGGGGGAGTGTCCAACATCCTGGCGGACAGCCTGTCTCGGTTCATTCCCCTGTCCACAGAATGGATGGTCAATGCCGACTCATTCAGTTGGCTCTGCCGGCCGTACGGGCTCCTAGAGGTAGACCTCTTCACGTCGGAGTGGTCGAGGCGTCTCCCGGTATCTTTGGGGCCCTTCCCCGACTGCGAGGCCATCGAGGGCGATGCCTTGTGGCAAGACTGGTTGAGGTGGAGTTACCTGTACCACTCCCTGCCCCCAGTTCAGCTGTTGCTCCAGGTTCTGACTCACTTGGAGACTTACTAGGGGAAAGTAGTCCTTCTGGCTCCTTGGTGGCCGGCCCAGCCTTGGTTTCAGGCGCTGGTTGCTTGGTGTCCGAACCCGGGGGTCTTCCCGCGGCTCTGCCTCTTTCAACAGATCGGACCGGTTCATTCTGTGGCTGGTTCGATCTTCTCCTCGAGTCTTCATTTCTGTTCTCTCTGAATCGAGTCTCTCACTACTTGTATGGTGGCTTCTTTGATGGTGTCCCACCTGTGTGCTTCATCTCGGGGGCAGTATATGGTTTCCTGGCGGTCCTTTTGGTTTCTCTTGTCCCTTCATCGATTTACTTCGCTCTCTGTTCGGGTTGTTTTATCCTTCCTTTCGTGGTTGTTCCAGGACCATCATCATCTGCCGGATACTGTTGCCTCGTATCATGTGGCATTGGCAGAGCTGCTGCTGCTTGCGTTCGACATTAATGTTCCTTCTGAACCGTTCCTCAAGCTGGCTCGGACGTTGTTTCACCTCCAGCCTGCTCATGCGCCACCTGAGCCATCCTGGTCTTTAGTTTGGGTGCTCTCTCTTCTCTCTTCTCCGCAGTTTGTGGTGGCCCCTTCAGTTCAGGATTGTTCTCCAGGGCTCTTTTATTGTTTGCATTGACCTCTGAGGGTCAGGTCGGGGAGCTTCGTGCTCTCCTCCAGCCCAGGGTTTTCTGCTCTTTCGATCCTGGTGATAGGTTTGTTCGTTTGCGTCCATCTCTTTTCTCGTGATGAATTGAGACTGCTGCTCAATTCTGTGTTTATTCTTTTTCGTGGTTCTTGACATCCAGCCTCAGAACTGTGGGGTGGATATCTGGCATGAGGGTCTGGGGCTCCCCCCTTTCCCCTCCCGGGGAATGGGGGGGGGCTGCGCAGACAGCGGCGCTATGACGTGGTGACATCATGCTCATTTGCTTGTTTTCATTTGGGGAGTCCACTAGTTTGACTTTCAGTAGCAATATTTTAACCAGAATAAGAGGTTTGTTTTAGAGGCGCTTACCTATCTGGGTGCCTTACCTAGTCGATGGCAGACATGGAATGCTTCCAACCACACGGGGGTTTCCATAGGCCATTGCTCCCCTTGCCTCTCTGAGGGATCCAGGCTTTGGCTTGTGGTCCCCGGTACTCCTAAGAACTGCATTCACATGACAGATGCCAAAGCCAAAATATATTCATATCAGCCTGGATAGCTCCGGGAAGCCTCTGAGTCTCACCCAGAAAATGGCGGTTCATTACATTCAATGCTGTTTTTTTGGCCTTTTTGCCGTGGGTTTAGTCAGGGTCATGTGTCTGGCCCTTCCTTTTGGCAGTGTGTTTTCCACCGGCAAATGTGGTGGTTTGGGCTCCCCCCTAGGTACGTTTCTGGGGGTACTGTAGATTTTTCGGTTGCCTTCCGGAGATTTTTCTTCCTCTGGGGTTTCTCCTGTGGAGGTTCAGGAGGCCCTTGGTGTTTTCCTCTTTTACAACCCGGAATTTGCCCTGTTTGACCCGGCATCTTTTCTGTTCGAGTCCTCTTCCCCATTTTGGGTGCATTATGGGGTTCCTGGCTCTTCCTGTCGTGCAAACGGTTTTTCTTCTTGGGGCTTGGCACTGGTTTTGTGGTTGTGCCAGAGCTCCAGCTTCTGCTAGTCGAGGTGGGTCTTTCCTACCTGCTTCTGTGCTGGTGCCTTCTCTGGAACGCTTTTGCCTGGTCGGCGTATTGCTCGCTCTGTTCGCTGGTCAGATTCTCAGAGGGGCTCTGTCTCCTTCGTGGGTCACCCCGTACTTGGGCCAGGTTCTGGTCCTGGTCCCTGGTACGCCAAACTGATTTCTATGGCTAATGCAGTATAGTAGTTGGGAGCCATGTCAGGAAGATAGTTTCAGGGAGCCACAGCAACTAACTCAGAAATTGACATTTCTGTACATTGAGTGCTGGGATTTTTTTAGACATTTGGCAAGATTTGCTTTCCACAGCAAACAAACTATTTTTCATCAAACAAATGTTGCAGCTTTGCAGCCAAAGGGTTAAGATAGCACCAGTACAAATACAAATTTATTTTAAGGATATTGTCTTGATAATGATTTGGCTCGGCCTACATGTAGTACAATATGACTAAGATTCTTTACTTTATTAAGTGTCCATTTCAGGTCCTGGGGTTTCAAAGATTTCCCTTCCATCTTTAACAACACAGCTAAATCGCTCTGTACCAGCATACTCACAAGCTGTGTCATTGGCCAAAACTCAGGTAAAGTTCTAAATATTGTAACTTTTTTTGCATGATGATTACTATTCTTGCTGGTTGTTGTTTCTTTAATGGAGACAGCCATTGGGTCGTGAAGGAGTTAAGTCCTTGCAAATGTTGTGTAAACCAAACCCTGCATCAGATAAATGTAATGGTAGCTCCGGTTTCCCCGGAGCTATCCAGGCTGATATACCCTGGATAGCTCCGGGGAACCTCCAGGACTCACCCAGAAAATGGAGTTTCATTACATTTATCTCTGTTTTCTAGGGGGAGCCCCGTCGGCTCCCCGGAGCTTTACCAGGCTGATATGCTAATGTCAGACTTTGGCATCAGTCATGTGTATGGAGTTCTAGGGCCTACCGGGGACCACGGCCAGAACCTGGCCCCCTCAGAGAGGCAAGGGGAGCAATGGCCTATAGAAACCCCCGTGTGGTAGGAAGCATTCTATGTCTGCCATCGACCGGGTCAAGCATCCAGAAAGGTAAGCATTCCAAAACAAACCCCTATTCTGGTGAAAATTGCTACCTAAAGCCAAACTAGTGAATAGAACTCTTCAACAGAAAACAAGGAAACTAGTATGACGTCATACTAGTCATACTGCACCGCTGTCTGAGCAGCTCCCCCCTCCCCGGGAGGGGGAAGGGGGAGCCCCAGACCTCCCATGCCGGCTATCCACCCATCAGTTCTTCGGCTGATGCTATAGGCACCGGTTATGTGCTCCGGCTCCAGTGGTTGTTTCAGCACTGTACCTAGAGTGTGGTGTCTGTTTTCTAGGTGGTGCGTGAGCCGGGAGTGATTCTCCAGTACTCGGGCTGCATGCGCCTAGGGTTCTCTTCCCTAGGTGCCCTGTAAGTACTGCCCTTGGGGCTTGGGGCCACCTTCCACAAGTTCCTTGGGTCCTGCCCCTACTTGGCAGTTTACTGCTTGGTTTTCGGCCGCTCTTTGTGTGCTCGGGTGTTCTGTCTCCCTTGTTCGCCTTATGGTAAGGGGCAGTTTTTGCACTGGTGGGGCGCAGGGTACTGTGCAGCTTGTCTTTACCAACCATAGCGGCCGGCTCTGTTCCGCTTGGGTACGCTGTCCTCATGCGGGGTTTTCTTTTTCTTTGTTTATCTACCTGGTGGGGGAGTCTGCCTTTGTTCTTGCCCCCTGTGTCCCTTGTGTTCTGAGTAATTCTGGTGGTACCCCCTGCTAGGTCCCCGTGAGTGTACACGTCCCGGGGGTTCAGCTCTTAGAAAGTTGTTTGGTAGCTTTGGGTGCCGGTTAGCAGTACCCTGCCTGGGATTACCTGAGCGCGAATCCTCTTATAGTAAATGCTCGGGACCCTGGGAAACCCCTGGGGGCGCGCGGATCTGATGGATGTGACCCCAGAGTCCCCCCCTCGCTTCCAGCGAGTTTGAGGGTTGCTCTCACCCTTTGTCTCTGGGTGACTCTGTTTTGCCCCGTCTGCTGCCTGTGGGGTCGGTGACACCTTCGACCCAGAGTCCTGCGAGTTTGGTTGCTCGTTGTGGCTCGATTACCCAGTTGTGCTGACAAAGCGGGTGCGGGCAGCAGGGGCGTTGCACTTGAGCCTTGGTGGTGGCAACGTTCTCGGGGTTTCCTCCCCGGGAGCCCCGGGGCTGCCCCGTTGTAGTTCGTTTTGGGAGTTGGGGGTGTTGGTTGCTTCGGTTCCATCCACGCCCCCTTGTCTTTCCCCTGGATCACTCTTCCTGCCTGCATCCGGTTCCTTACCGTCTGTAGGTTCGGGGCGGGGTTTTTGATGGCGTTGAGACTCGGGCAGTCTCGGGGAATTCCCCTTCCGGGGTGGTGACGGGGGCATTTGAGCCTGTTCCTCCAGCCATGTTGTATGAGTCTGCCAGTGGGCTCCCTTCCTTAGTGTTTTCACGGCTGCCCTGGTTTTCTGGTACAGCCGGGGCTTTGGGGGAACGGCTCGGCCCCGGGGCCTGTTGTGTAGGTTCCCAGGGCTGGGGAGGGGCTGACTTGGGGGCCTTGGCCCCGTTGGACCCCATGAGGGTTTTTATTCCCCTCTAGGCGGGGCTTGTGGTTACGCGGAGTGGGGTCTTTCCTCCCCACTCGCCGTACGTGCTGTTGGGAGTCGGCCCCTCCCCGGGCTCAGTTCCTTGGCCTTTGAGTCGGTTGGTTCTGTCCTGTGGGTGGATGTTTCCTCGCACACTTTTTTGGGACGGTGTTTTCGTTCTGATCTCAGGTGCGCCTGCGCCTTCGTGTGCCTTTGGGACTAGTGTTGGCTTCTGTATTCTCGAGGGTTTGGGAAGGTTTTTCGCTACTTCCCGCATTATTGGGACGTCTGTCGGCTCCTCGTCCTTGTCGCCGTTTTGGGCTACTTGTCGCCCTGTTGTGCTACTTGTCGCCCTGTTGGGCTACTTGTCGCCCTGTTGGGCTACTTGTCGCCCGGTTGGGTTCCTTTCTGTGGGGAGCCCCTACGGCTCCCTGGAGCTTATCGGGCTAATGTATGTTATGTTAGACCGGGACATTAGCTAAGGAGTTCAGACCTACCAGGGACCAGCGCCAGAACCTGGCCCCTTCAGAGAGGTTTCAGGGAGCAATGGCCCTGGAAAACCCCATATGGTTGGGGGTTTTCCTTATCTGCCATCGACCGGGGTTAGGCACCCAGAAAGGTAGGCGTAACAAAACAAACCCCACATGGTAAGAAACTACAACAAAAACCGAACAGAGAGGTAGAAAACTCCCTACAATCCCAAGGAAACAAGCAAACAAGCAAACATCACACTTTACTGCCGCGCCGATCGTCCGCGCAGCCCTCCCCACCCCGGGAGGGGGAGGGGGGAGCCCTGGACCTACCGCGCCGGCTGCCAAGCTCCAGTTCGTTCGCTAATGTCAACCGGGATTGACGCTTCTCTGGCCTCAGTTTCCTAGGCGGTGTTTGCCTTGTGTGGCGTTCACTGCCGTGTGTTGTGTTGTGCGGTGGCCAGGAGTACTTCATCAGTGCCGGGGCTGCATATGCTTAGTGGCTGACTTCCCTAAGCGCCCTGTGAGTACTGCCCTTGCGTTACAGGGTTATCTTCCCTGGGGCGTTCGGGAACCATTCCCGTAGAGGTTCTTGCTGCTCGGCATTTGCCTCGCCCTTGGGGCCAGCTGGGGCTTGGGGCCCTTGTTTGGCCCTGGGTAGGGATTGGTATTGTGCTGGTTAGGGCGTCAAGGTGTTGCGCAGCCTGCCACCTAAGCGGCGGCCGGTTTCTGTTGCCTCTGGAGACGGTGTACTTTTGCGGGGTTTTTCTTTTGTTTTTCATTTTCTTGCCTGGTGGGGGTCTGCCTAAGGTGGTTATAGTTCCACTGGTAGTGTTTGGCGTCCCTCTGCTAGGCCCCCGTGCTTGTACACGTCTCGGGGGTTTTCAGTGCTATAATCTACCCTCTTGTTATGTTTGGGTTTCTTAACCGGTTAGCAACACCTTGCCCGGGCTTCCCGTAGTTGTTACCCTACGGGCCCTGGAAACCCCTGTCTGGGCTCGGGGGACCATTGAATGTGTCTTCCGGGTTCCAACCCGTCTTGTACGGGATCGTTGGTTGCTGTTCCCTTGTCTCCGGGTGACAGTCGCCATTTTTACCTCCGTCATGCTGCCTGTTGGGTCACTGACACCTTGACCCGGAGTCTTGCGAGTGATTCTCTGCTTGTTCTCCAGTACTCTCCTGATGTTATTTCTGTTCAGAGTACAGGCGGCATCCGTGTTGCAAGCTAGGTTAGGTTGCTGCAACATGCTAGGTTGGTTTCCCACTCGAATGCCCCGTGGCCGCCCCGTTTGGTTAGGTGCTGCTCGCCCCTTTCTCTCCATGTTCCCGGCTCCGGACCGTCTGCGTGTTTCTGGGTCGGGGCGGGGTTCAGTTGCGGCAGAGACTCGGGCGGTTTTCGGGGGATGCCCCGTTCGGGTTGGGGACGGAGGTTTGAGCCTGTGCCTCCTGCCAAGGCTTCTGGGTCTTACCAGCGGCCCTTTCTTGTTGCCTTTCCCATGGGCTCTTGCTTTTCTTTCAGGGCGGAGGGCTTGGAGGACGGCTCTGCCCCGGGGCCTCTGTTGTTGGTTCCCGGGGCTGTGGGGGATGCCTACTAGCAGTTCTGGGGCGGTTTTGCCCCTTCAGGGGTTTTTCTGCTTTTGGGCGTCGTTTTTCGCCCTTCCAGTCTGCTAGCTTCCCACATTTGCTGGCGTGTTTTTGTGTATTTAGCGTCAGTCACAGCCCCTGCTGGCGGCCATTTTCGTCTGCCGGTTTCCCGGCGTGGCCACCAGGGCGGCGTTGCGGTTTGTTTACATGCGTCTGGGTGTGCGAGCGAGCGTCTCTGGTGAGTTTTCAAAAAATTTGCAGGGTTTTTGTTCTCCTGTTGTCGTTTCTTTGTTTTTCTGGTGTTTTCTTGCTGTTGCCTGTTCCTCTGGGAACGTTTGGGTGTTGCTTTTGGGTCTGAGCCTCTGGGTTTAGGCTCAGTGCCCCTGGCTGGTATGCTTGCTCCCACACCTTGCCCCTCGGTTTTCGGTCTGTTGGGACCGTTTTCCCAGGGCGTTCTGCTGGGGTCTGTGCTTTGCCTTTTAGTGGTGTTCTCCGCCGGCAAATGTGGTGGTTTGGGCTCCCCCTGGTTCGATTCTGGGTTCCTTTGGGTTCCTTGGTTTCGTTCTGGAGGTTTCTTCCTCTTGGGCCCCCTTTTGTGGGTTCAGGGGACTTTGTTTCCTCGTGTGACCCGGTTCTGCCTTTTGGGGTTCCGGGGTCTTCCTGGCTTGCAGACTGAGCTTTTTGGGTCTTGGCACATGTTGTGGTTGTGCTGGGGCTTTGTGGTTTTGCTGTCGAGGTGGGCCTTTTGATGCAGTTTTGTGCCTTCTTTGCCTGGCCGGCGTAGTGCTCTTTGCCACTAGTCGGCGGCTTGTGCTTTTACAATATGTGTCCTCACCTAGTTGTGCTTGTGGGGGTTGGGCTCTGGCTCCTTGGTCCTGCCTCTCAACCGTCCGTCAACAGGTGTATCGGTTCCTGTGCCTCTTGGGCTCTGTCATGTCTACATGTGACATTGTATGGGGGTCAGCCTCGTTACTTGTGTGAGGAGTCGCCACATTACTGCTTAGTGCTTTCCCGTTCCCATTCTGACACTCAAAAAAAAAAAAAAAAAAAAAAAAAAAAAAAAAAAAAACTAATTCTATCTGTGGCTCTTTTGGGTACTCAGTTTCCACCTGTGTCCCCTAGTGCGTGTGCCCCTTGTGTTACATATCCTGTCCTTCTCAACCCTGTCGATTCCCTTGGGTATCTTGTATGTGGTGATCAGGTCTCCCCTCACTTCCTCTTCCAGCGAAGTGTGGTTTCATTCCCGTAGTCTCTCCTCATGACTTCGGTAGTGTACTTTTTCTTTCTGAAGGGTTCTGTTCCCTTCTCTGTTGACTGGGCGCTGGGGGAGCAGCTTGCTCTGTTGCCTCTCGCTTGGTCCCGCTGTTGGTGGGCGCTTTGGGTTGTCTTCCGGCCTCTGCTGGCGTCGGAGGACGGCTTCTCCCCCTTGGGGGGGGTTCAGAGCTGGCGGGGTGGGCTTCTTCCCTGCGCTTCGTCATTTCCTCTTCGTGGGTGCGTGGGGCGTGGTCGATCCGCCCCATCCTTCTGGGCTTCCTGTCTGCTCTTTGCAGTCATGAGCTTTTCCAGTCTGCAGTTCTTCTGGACTACTACCGTTTGCGCCCTGGATCCTCTGCCCTGCTCGGAGGACTGTTGTCTCCTGTTCGGATTCTGTTAGGGCCGGGTGCATGGATGGTGGACCTGGACCTCCAGGTCACTTCTTGGCACGTTCCTCTCCAGTTTTTCTGGGGCTAGCACGGTTGGTAATTACCTATGTGTACTTACCTAAGTGTAGTTACAGGATGAGTGCTACTCTCGTGGTGTCCCGTCTTCCCAGCACTCTTTGTCATATAATGCTTTGATTATAATTGTCATATTGTCATATAATGATTGTCATATGTCATAATGTCTTCATATGATTGTCATGCAATGCTTTGGTGTTGGGGCTTCAGGTTTGCTGTTTTTATTGCATTCCCTATTTTGTGAAGGGCACTTTGTATACTCTTTGCATCTTTACCGGATCTTAGTGCCCTGTCTGCGTCTGAGATTCGGTGTCTGGCCTACCTCGACGACTGGCTGGAGTGGGCTCCCAGTCAGTCCGCTTGTCTGCTCGCCAGGGGATGGTTCTTTCCAGATCGCTGGGTTTGGTTTCCTGGTGATCTGGAGGTTTTACCTTCTGTTTCCGTCCCGGGTTCGGACCTGGGCCTTGTTTCAGGCTCTTGGGCCCCTCATTGTCTTCCCTCCAGAAGTGTTACTGTGGCTGTGGTCCCGCCTTTGGCTGTTCAGGAGGTGGTCCCGGGTTGCTCAGCGGTTGCTTGGGCGGTTGTGCGGGAGTTTGCACTTCGGCGTGCTTGTCTGCCCGCAGAGTCGGGTTTGGCTCCGGCGTCGGTTGGTTCCTACGGAGACTCCACTTCCGCCTCTTGCATTCCTTGGGTTCCTCTGGGGATCTGGTGTTGGTGCTGCGTCACCAGCTTCCTCTTTGGGGTTTTCGGGGTTCCGTGCCTTGGCGGCTCCCCGAGCCTTCGCTCGATGTGTTCACGGACGGGTCGTCTCTCGGCTGGGGCTTTGTGACCAGTGCTCACCAGGTCGGCCGAGGTTGATGGAGTCTGTCTGTCCGTCGGGCTCACAGCCCGGTTCAGGTGTTCATGGCTGTCTGGTTTGCGCTTCGGAGGGTTTGGGTCACTAGGTACTCTACCGTTCAGCTCTGTTTGGACTGTTCTCTGGTGGTTCTTGCCGGAACCACAGGGGGTTTGGTTAACCGTGTGGTTCGTGTCCGGGGTGTGTCCTGCGTCCTGGTGGACAGCTGTCTCGGTTCATTCCTCTTCGTGGGTTGGCCAGTCGTCGCCGATTCGTTTTGTTGGCTCTGTTGGGCTTATGGACTCCTGGCCATGGACGTCTTCGGGTCGGCGTGGTCTAGGCGTCGCCCGTTTTGTGGCGCCTTCCCACCTGCGAGGACTTCACGGTGGAGGCTTTCGGCAGGCCTGGTCGAGGTGGGGGGTACCTGTACCTCTTCTCCCGGTCCAGCTGTTGCTTCGGGTTCTGGCTCAGTTGCAGCCCATTCCCACGAGAACAGTCCTTCTGGTTCCACTGTGGCCGGCCCGGCCTTCTTTTCAGACGCTGCTTGATAGGTGTCCGTACCCGGGGCGTTTTTCCTGAGGCTTCGCCTCTTTTAGCAGGCCGTATCGGTCCTGTCCGTGACTGGTTCGGCCTTCTCTTTGGCTCTTCGCGTCTGGTATTTTGACGCAGGTATCGCCATCTCTATGGTGTTCAGGTGGCTTTGTTGACGGTGTCCCACCTGCGAGCTTCGTCTTGGAGACTGTATGACGTTTATTACGTCTTCTCGCGTTTTGTTTCCCCTCCGGCCTGCTCATGAGTCGCCTGAGCCATCCTGGTCCTTGTTCAGGGTGCCTTCTTCTCTTCCCCTCAGTTTGTGGTAGCCCCTTCGGTTTGTTTCCTCCTCTTTGGTACGGGTGGTAGCTTTATTGGTGTGCAGCCTTTCTCTGTCCTGGCGACGGTCGAGACGGCTGCTTTCCGGAGGGGTTCTTGGGGTATTGGTACTTGTTTGGTTTGGCCGGGGGGTGCGTCCTGTGTTGTCCAGTTGTGCTTTTTGCTGTTGCTGGCGTACCGTGCCTGGGGATGCGCTGTGGTTGATCCGGTTCCTTCGTTCCCTGTTTTCAGGGCTCGGGTCTCCCGGGTCGTCCGCAGTGTTTTCCTTCTTACTGCGGTCTGTCTTTGCGCCCGTGCTGTTCAGACGTTTACAGCAATTGCTGCTGTGTTGGTGACGTCTCGGGCTCATTTCGGGCGCAGGGAATTGTGGGTCGCACAGGTTTTTGGCCGCCCATCCATGTGTGCGTCTGTTCTTGGGCGTTCTTGTTGCCTTGGGTCGCAGGTTTGCGACCGGTTGTCTTGGCTTTGCGTTACAGAGTTTGTGGCGGCCGCCTCCCGGGTTAGCCCTTTCTTTTCCTTCTCTTTGGGTATGAAGCTCCAGGGAGCCGTAGGGGCTCCCCACAGAAAACCAGCGTTGAATGTAATGAAACACCATTTTCTGGGTGAGCCCCGGAGGCTCCCTGGAAACCCTCCCTCCCACCGGTCGGCGGTTTTTTCGCGTTGGTTGAGGCTTAGCTTCCGAACTGGAGCTTGGCAGCCGGCGCGGTAGGTCCGGGGCTCCCCCCTCCCCCTCCCGGGGTGGGGAGGGCTGCGCGGACGATCGGCGCGGCAGTAAAGTGTGATGTTTGCTTGTTTCCTTGGGATTGTAGGGAGTTTTCTACCTCTCTGTTCGGTTTTTGTTGTAGTTTCTTACCATGTGGGGTTTGTTTTGTTACGCCTACCTTTCTGGGTGCCTAACCCCGGTCGATGGCAGATAAGGAAAACCCCCAACCATATGGGGTTTTCCAGGGCCATTGCTCCCTGAAACCTCTCTGAAGGGGCCAGGTTCTGGCGCTGGTCCCTGGTAGGTCTGAACTCCTTAGCTAATGTCCCGGTCTAACATAACACACATTAGCCCGATAAGCTCCAGGGAGCCTCCGGGGCTCACCCAGAAAATGGCGTTTCATTACATTCAACGCTGGTTTTTTGCTGTTGCCGGCGTACCGTGTCTGGGGATGCGCTGTGGTTGATCCGGTTCCTTCGTTCCCTGTTTTCAGGGCTCGGGTCTCCCAGGTCGTCCGCAGTGTTTTCCTTCTTCCAGCCTGCGGTCTGTCTTTGCGCCCGTGCTGTTCAGACGTTTGCAGCTTTTGCTGCTGTGTTGGTGACTCTCGGGCTCATTTCGGGCGCAGGGATTTGTGGGTCGCACAGGTTTTTGGCCGCCCATCCATTTGTGCGTCTGTTCTTGGGCGTTCTTGTTGCCTTGGGTCGCAGGTTTGCGACCGGTTGTCTTGGCTTTGCGTTGCAGAGTTTGTGGCGGCCGCCTCCCGGGTTAGCCCTTTCTTTTCCTTCTCTTTGGGTATGAAGCTCCAGGGAGCCGTAGGGGCTCCCCACAGAAAACCAGCGTTGAATGTAATGAAACGCCATTTTCTGGGTGAGCCCCGGAGGCTCCCTGGAAACCCTCCCTCCCACTGGTCGGCGGTTTTTTCGCGTTGGTTGAAGCTTACCTTGTTTTCTGTTGAAGAGTTCTATCCACTAGTTCGGCTTTAGGTAGCAATTTTCACCAGAATAGGGGTTTGTTTTGGAATGCTTACCTTTCTGGATGCTTGACCCGGTCGATGGCAGACATAGAATGCTTCCTACCACATGGGGGTTTCTATAGGCCATTGCTCCCCTTGTCTCTCTGAGGGGGCCAGGTTCTGGCCGTGGTCCCCGGTAGGCCCTAGAACTCCATACACATGACTGATGCCAAAGTCTGACATTAGCATATCAGCCTGGTAAAGCTCCGGGGAGCCTCCGGGTCTCACCCAGAAAATAGCGTTTCATTACATTCAACGCTGGGTTTTTTCAGTTGCCCTTGTTTATGCGAACAAAACATAGTTTTATTTATTTTAAGGCAAGTTAAATTTGCATATGGAAAGTTCCATGCCTTGTACAGTACTGTATTTTGTATTGACCTTATAATGTGAATTATTTCCTGTACTGTTTCTTTAGTAATTAACTTCTTGCAAAACTTACACTCCAAATTTTGAAGTGTTGTATAAGCTTAGTGAATTTCAAATGCCAAATTTGCAAACCAGAGTGACAAATGTGTCTTAACACCTTAACTGTCTGCAGATCTCATCGCCATCACTGACGGCGCTCCTGAAGGGCACAGTGCCGGCGAGCACACAGTCTGTCACCATACCCAGGCCACAGGTGGGCCTTTACTTGCCTCTACATTTTATATTTCTATTGAAATTTTGATTAATCTTAAGTAAATTAATGCACAAGTTTTATTTTTTCAGTTTGCTTTGTTTACTGTATAAAGCCAGTATTGAATGTAATGAAATGCCACTTTCTGGCATTCTGGTTAAGGCCTGTAGCTCCTTAACACTGTCTCGCTGAGATGGCTTCCCACCACTGAGTCACATAAGTCGCAGGAGTTGTGTTTGACCTATTAGACACCAGATCCAAAACCTGGCCAACTCACAGAGGTGCAATAAACTGGTATTGTTAAAATCCTAAATATCATTATTGCCCTTGTATAGAAGTCACAGAGGCAAATTTGCCCTTGTACAGAGGCAAATCCTTGGCAGTTTGAAGATCTACCAATGTAAATACAATATCAGTTTGCAAACCTCACAAACCCAGCCCCAAACATCATTTTGCTTGTGAACTTAATCATTTGGCACCTAAAAAAGGAAGAATGTGGCAGAAAGAGTTATATCTGAGAAAATCCCAGGAATCCTAAATGAACAGTCACACATTTGCCCTAAACTATCAAATAGTAGAGCATACAGTATAGAAAAGAAATCACCCTTGATCTTATTTTCACAAACAATGATAAATTGGCCAGGAACATAATGATTACAAATAGATAACAAAAACCTGTTGCTCAGATCACAACCTAATTGAAGTACCAATTATCATGGGCAATAGACTTGTGCAGCCAGTCCCAAATCCAAGAAAAGGAGAATTTAACAAATTCAATTTTAATAATAAATGGACTAACTGGAACTAATAAATCAAGACCTCACATAAAAAAGCATGGAAGAACAGCTAGAAAATGCAAACGTATATCAGTGCCTCAAGAAAATAGACACAGTAGCACTAGAAATATGTCACACTACATACCACTAAGAGAGAAAGAAAATGAAGCAGATTGGAGCAAGAATTGTGTTCCCTCTATTGGAGAAGAAAAAAATCAAAGAATAAGTCGAATTCCCCACTGTATTCCAAGAATGACAAGAAACGCTATGTTGAGAAATAAAAACGATTGAGCTACACTACAGGATAAACTTAGAAAATTGAGAAAAACTACATGAATCGAATCAAATCCAGAAAATGGAAAGATAGCAAGCAGCCGTCAGTGAAATAGAGAGGAATCCCATATACCTTTTCATCCATATAAAATTTAAAACAAAAACTACATCTAGCATTGGAGCCCTGCACAAAGGAGATGAATCTTTCATAGATGACAACAAAAAATCTGTGAAATGTTGAGGATACAGTACGATTCTGTTTTGAGTGAGCCCCTGAACACACTGAAGATTGCTAATCCAAACAATTTCTTCATGAATGAGATATTAACATGAAATCACATATCAGATGTCACCCTAACCCAACTGCACTTTGAATTAGCCATAAACAGTATGCTCATGCACTCTGCACCAAGTCCTGATTCCTGGAATTCCGTATTCAATGGGGTTACAAATGGCAACCCTCAATGTGCTGTATAAACAATTATAAAACTGCATTTCATTCCAGCATAACGAGTAGAATGCCCCCCAGCAATGGGTCCAAACAGAAGAGTCAAATGTTGACCACCACACACTAGAAGGTGAAGGGACGACAACGTTTGGGTTGCCTGGACCATTCTCAAGTCGATTGTGATTGACAATCAACTTAAGAATGGTCCAGGACGGACCGAAACGTTGTCGTCCCTTCACCTTCTAGTGTGTGATCTGGTCAACATACTTTAGCCACGTTATTGTGACTCATCGCCTGCCAGAAGAGTCAAAGACCTTGAACAGCCCAAAGTGAGGCTCTCCACCCCTGAGGCTGGCCTCTTAGAAATGAACTGCCAAACACACCAGAAAAGATAAAGTCAGTGTAAGGGCAGTGCTAGCAGGTACCCAAGGAATAAAACCCTGAGTGCATGTACTTCAAAACACAACAAAGGCCAAGTCTACACTTCAAGCTAGAGAGAAAACATGCACATAAAGCTCATATTAAAATAAATGCACACAACAAGAAGTAAAAGGCTCCTACAGGAAGAATGAAGTCCAATGATGGCCAGCACCTAGCCTGAAGCAGAGGGGCTTGTCCATGACTAATAGACCAGACCACTACACCACCTGGTGGTGACTGCTACCACCAGAGCACTGTTCTGGTGGTAGCAGTCACCACCAGAACATCAGCAATAGATTGGAGTAGAGGAGTTGGCTGAGGGCAGGGGCTGGGCCACCTGGTGGTGGTAATCGGTACTAACAAGTTTCGAGCTTGTTCGAGTGAATCCCTTATACAATGTGAATAATTTGCAGAATTGTTTGGAAAGTTTTAAGGCTTCATTTTCTGTGAAACCTGCAGTTGCCTGTAAAGCTTCTCTGACTTTCTGAGTACTTTCCCAGTGTGATAGCAAATTGTCATTTGCTCTCTGTGCCTCGTCCAACTACTTGGGCTGGGCAGTAGTGTGACAGATCAGGGTTCAATCCCTGACCATCTAAGTGGTTGGGTACCATTCCTTTTCCCCGTCTTATCCCAGATCCTTATTCGGATCCCTTCCAAGTGCTATATAGTTGTAATGGCTTGGTACACTCTCCTGATAATTCCATTCCATTCTGTGCCTCTGTGATGGGGGACCAGGTTCTAGCTCTGGTTCTTTTTAGGCCAAAAAACTTACACGACTAATGTGACCATTAGTATGGAGTAATCTCAGGAAGGTAGCTTTGGGAAGCCACAGGGCTTCCCCAGAAAAACACTTTCAGGAGCCCTAAACAGCACTTAGATATGGAGCCTAGATACCAGTGTTATCTGTGACATACTTAAAACAGCAGAGATCACTGCACTCTGCAAAGGAGGCAGTAAAGCTGATATAAAAAATTATAGACCAATAGCAATAACATCACATATAAAAAAAAAAAACTTTGAAAGAAGAGTGCTGAGAAGTAAGGTCACAAAACACACGGAATCACAGTGGCTACATAACCCTGCTCAACGTGGGTTCAGAACAGGGCGCTCCTGTTTCTCACAATTGCTAGACCACTATGACATGGCTTCTTGAGGTTATCTTGAGATGATTTCGGGGCTTTAGTGTCCCCGCGGCCCGGTCCTCGACCAGGCCTCAACCCCCAGGAAGCAACCCGTAACAGCTGACTGACACCCAGGTACCTATTTTACTGCTAGGTAACAGGGACATAGGGTGAAAGAAACTCTGCCCATTGTTTCTCACCGGCGCCCGGGATCGAACCCGGGACCACAGGATCACAAGTCCGCTCGACCGACTGGCTCGGCCGACTTGCCTTTGACGTCATGGAAGATGAACAAATTGCTGATGTAATATACACAGATTTTGCCAACACTTTTGACAAATGTGACCGGGCTGTTATTGTACACAAAATCCACACAAAAATAATTACTGTACTGGCAAAGTAGGGCGTTGGATCTACACTTTCCTAACAAACAGAACCTAGAGTGTAATAGTCATCAAAGTAAGATCTGAATTATCCACTGTTGAAAAGCTCAGTCCAACCAAGGCACAGTGCTTGCTCTGGAACTTTTCCTCATCCTCATATCAGACACAGGCAAGAATACACACTGTACTGTATTATCCTTTGCAGATAACAGTATGTCGTGTGTAGAAAATATGTAGTATATAGTGTGTAGAAAGTATGTAGTATATAGTGTTTATAAAATATGTAGTATGTAGAGAATATGTAATATGCAGTAAGTGTGTAGAGAATATATAATATGTAGTGAGTGTGTAGGGAATATGTAGTATGTATATATGTAGTGAGTATGAAGAGAATATGTAGTGTGTAGAGAGTATGTAGTAAAGAATAATACAGTATACACATGGAAAATACTTGAGGGCTAGGTCCCAAATCAACACATTGAAATAACAACATACTGTCATGAACGATATGGAAGAAAAAGCAGAATTGAACCAGTGAAGAGCAGGGATGCCATAGGCACAAACAGAGAATACTGTATAAACATCAGAGGTCGACGGTTGTTCAACATCTTCCCAGCAAGTATAAAAAATATTGTTGAAACAAGCGTGGACACCTTCAAGAGAAAACTAGATAGTTTTCTTTAAGAAATGCTGTACCAACTGGGCTGTGGTGGGTATGTGGGCCTGCGGGCCGCTCCAAGCAAACAGCCTGGTGGACCAAGCTCTCACAAGTCAGGCCAGGCTTGGGGAGTAGAAGAACTCCCAGAACCCCTTCAAGCAGATATCAAGGAGTATGTAGAAAATATGTAGCATGTATTGTATACAGTACTTACACAAGTGTAGTTACAGGATGAGAGCTGTGTAGTAAATATGTAGTGTGTAGTGAATATGAGAATATGCAGAGTGTGTAGCAAATATGTATTATGTAGAGAATGTGCACTGAATATGTAAAATATAGTGAGTTTCCTGAGAGTGTGTAGCCCAAGAGGCAGCAAAAATGGATTCAAATTGTTTGGGATCACCTCCTCACCTAACCAGATACCAGATGGAGAAAATCTACACTGTGTGATAGTGCTTCAAGTGCTTCAGTTATGATCACTTCTCAAAACAAGTGGCCAGAGCAAATGGCTAAGTGCAGCTTATGCGCTGGCACCCACAACTATAATCAATGTACCGCAACCACCAAAAAATGTGTAGTCTGTGGAGAACAGCACGCCGCTTACCTCTGCTCAAAATAGGAGGAGAAACTTAACAAAAGTTAAGGAGAAGGAAACCCCACCCACAGGCCAGTCGCCTGTGGGTTGTCATTGTTCTGATCTCGGACTTAGGACCTGACCTGTTTCTAAACCTGCTGCCGACAACGTCCATATATAGTGTGGACGTCCACACAAGCTACAGCAGCAAGACCCTCAAAATCCAGGAATGCTAGCCACCACCCAGAACATCCATGTCCAGGTCATCATGGCATATGCAGACAGAGTTGTGAAGCAAGATCACAACCTGTTCCTCAGAACAGTGAACGAGCTTCTGGAAGCAAAGTGCATTGCTCCCATACTGATACCAGTGACAGAATACGGAAATGCGGCCATTCAGACTGATGCTCCATGGATGACGATGATAACTGCGAACACCCAGACGATGCTGACAACGTTTGAGAAGGTGATAGCAGCGCAACTAGTACAGCAGGAACAAGCAAGCACACAACAAGGGCAGACAACACTGCCCAGGGGCCTCGTAGCCTGGTGGATAGCGCGCAGGACTCGTAATTCTGTGGCGCGGGTTCGATTCCCGCACGAGGCAGAAACAAATGGGCAAAGTTTCTTTCACCCTAAGTGCCCCTGTTACCTAGCAGTAAATAGGTACCTGGGAGTTAGTCAGCTGTCACGGGCTGCTTCCTGGGGTGTGTGTGTGTGTGGTGTGTGGAAAAAAAAAAAAAAATAGTAAACAATTGATTGACAGTTGAGAGGCGGGCCGAAAGAGCAAAGCTCAACCCCCGCAAAAACACAACTAGTAAACACAACTAGTAAACACTAGCCACCCAGACAAGTGCACCAGTGTCTACAGTCACAGCTCCAGGGCAGACAGCACACACCACAGCGAAAGTAAGAATGCTGGATGCACATAAAGAAGAGGAATACATAACTTCAGTAGATCTTGGAGATGTTGAGGATTTCTCCAACGATGCTGAGAATATTTCTGAGGAAGCAGACTTGATCTCCACAACACCAGTAGCAACGCCTCAGAAAATAATAATAATGCCCTCGCTTCCAGGAGGGAAGAGGGGTCTTCCGTCTTTCTACGCCTTGGGTCAAGAACTCGTAAAAATACCACGGGAAATCACGGAGCAGCATTACCCACCACAACTTCCAGCACCGTCACCTGAGGGGCAGCATGATACAGACACGAAGCCAAATCTCCAAGAAAAACAAGAACAAGAAAAGGTAGACTCCTGCAGCCCTTAGAAAACCCAAGATAGTGATGCAACAGTGAACTACTAAACAAGGACTTCAGGTTGTCACTTGGTTCTCTTGGCCCCCATTGCTTTGTGGCGGTGTGGGTGATACACAACTATTCTCATACTCGGCCAGCTGCAGCGACCGAGTACGAGAGGTGCTTAAGCCCAGCCCATACTCTCTTCAACTACTAAGCTTCCTCACCAGATTATTCTTCCATCTGTCCCAACTTCCCATTCACCCATCACCAGGTAATTTACCTGTACACTTGTATGTATGTGTAGACAATATATAATGAATATGTAGACATTATGTAGTGAATATGTAGACAGTATGTAGTGAGTTTGTAGAGAATATGTAGTGAATGTGTGGAAAGTTGGTTGAACTACTGACCCTCCCGAGAATGCAACCCCTCAACAGTTGCCTAACTTCACCTATTTACTGCTAGGTGAACCGAGGATTAGGTGAAAGGAGACATGCCCAAATATTTGTCCCGCCCAGGAATTGAACCCAGGATCTCCGACTGTAGGTCAAGAATGAAGCAAACTGCTTAATTTTTAGTTCCTCTGTGAAACTTGCAGTTCAGTTTTGGTTCACTTACTCTCTGGATGTTTCCTGAGTTGAGGTGATCATAAAGGATTCCCTGCTCCTTGTGCCTCTGTGGTGCCAGACTCTGGCTCTGGTCTCCTGTAGGGTATTAAGGACTATTGGGGCTGATGTGTCGTGTGTGTATGTGTGTGTGTGTGTGTGTGTGGGGGGGGGGGGGGCTAGCTAAAGGGGGCTACCAATGCCCAAGTGGAAAGAGGCATTTCATTACATTCATGTCTGGTTTTGTATGAACCTAGCATATTTCTATAGATAAAATTAAAATTGTTCTAACTACATTATTACTCAAATTTCTTTTCAAGAATAATTTTATATATTTTGATTTGTCTCAGGTTGTGAGTCTTGTTGGTGGTGTCAATGATACGTCGGGTCATACCAAATCTTCCAGCAATGATTCATCGTCTTCATCTCTTAATGTTTCTGGCCTGCAACAGCTACTAGCAGGTAGACTAAATATCTTGTACAGTAATTCTTTTGAAGAATTAAATTTTTACTTATTAAACACTTGCATTATTTTTATATTGTTGTGAAATTTTGTTTCCAAGTGTTTAAATGTAACACGTTACATTTAATAAGCCTATTGTATGTATGTATGTTTACTGTATGTTTAATAAGCTTATTGGCTGCTCTTTACTGGGAGGGCCCCCCTCAGTAGCTCCCCCGCTACTACAGCACTGAATCTGCCAAGCCCTAGGAACTCCCACCAGGATTCTGAGCCTACTGGGAGTCAGGACCAGAATCTGGCTCTCTATGAGACGAGGAGAGATTGGGTATTAGAGATGAACCTAAATCTGACAAAAACCTAACAAAAGTATGAGCATGTCAAAACAAACAAATGCTTGAAGGAAATTAGTAATCCTGAGGAAAACAAGACAACAATTGTTATTGCTGGTGTTGGATTTTGCTGTCACCAGATAGTAGTCCAGGCTACGCAGAGTCCTCACTAGCGAGCCACCTCGTTCCCTCACCTGGTGCTGTCTCGGGTTCACGTTTCTGCTGGACACACATTCACCTTCATGCTTACAGACAAAAGGGGGGTATTGGCTATCCATATAGCATTTGATTTACATACACCCATTGCTGTACCGTATTGGCTCGCTAATCTGGACTATATGTAAAAGACCCCCAGCCGGATTAGCACATTTTCCGAATTAATGTACTTTTTCACCACAGAAGTCCAAAAGTGACCAATTTCCAAAAATGTTGTACAAGCAGCCACTTGGTTTGCAAACTTAAATTATCCAAAGGCAGGCAGGCACGCAGACAGGCATGCAGACAGGCAGGCAGGCAGGCAGGCAGGCAGGCAGGCAGGCAGGCAGGCAGGCAGGCAGGCAGGCAGGCAGGCAGGCAGGCAGGTAGGCAGACAGACAGTGAGTGTGTTAATTCGCTGACAAAGCACCGACCAAAGCCTCCCGCCCATATTAAAAGTTATATCTTAGCTATACAATATTTATGCCATTATATATTGATTTTTGTGTAAAGTGTATAGTATTATGATACATTAATAATCATTAACATGTTTTATTGCTTCCTGTTTATTAATTAAACTACAATTTTACTTATGAAATATGGACAGTTGAACTAAGCGACCAGTGTACCAAAGAGTGTACGGGATGTGGGGGGGGGGAGGTGTGTCGGTGGTGGGGGGAGGGACGGGCTCAATCCGATAAGCCGATCACACTCGACCCCGTTAGCCAGATTTGTTTCTTAAATGCTGGATGTACATCATCATATATATTTTTGGTTACAGATTTGGTTTAGTCATATTATTAGGATAATAAAAAGTTGTTAAAATTCTTGTTTCATGAATGCTTTATTGAATTAGATGGAAATTCTCCAAGCTATCTCTAGCTGGCCATCTACTGCCACCTACAGAAGAGTATTTTGGAGGGAGACAGTAGTGGGAGCAAGGAAGTGAGGGTGGGAGGAAGAACAATAGTGATACCAGGTTGATGGGGTTCTGGGAGTTGTTCTACTCCCCAAGCCCGGCCCGAGGCCTGGCTCGACTTGTGAGAGTGAGGATGACTCCCTCCCGTTCATGGTGGTGATGTACAACGAGTGTTAGGCCAGGAGTTTCACTTATTTATCTCTAAGTGGTAAAGATTATATTTTATATTCGGCAGCAAGTCGACCCTTGGTTTTGGAGAGATTTTTAGGCTTCAAACTCTATCATTTATATGCTGATCCGGCGAAATATCCGCTAGTCCGGCTTCTATGGACATTTTGGCCGGATAGAGAGATAACTTTATCTGGCCACAACTTTTGCTGGATTAGGGCATTTTCCGCATTGGCAGATCCCGGATTAGTGAGTTTCTACAGTACTTTGCTTTTTTTCCATTTCCTGCTTCATGTGTGGGTTATAATTACCTGAGTGCTTAAATTACCTGAATTAAATTACCTAAGTGTTTAAATTACCTGACTGTAGTTACAGGATGAGAGCTACCCTCGTGGTGACCCATTTTTCCCAGTACTTTTTGTCATATGATACTTTGAAACTACAGTTCAATCTCAATTCGGCTTGAGATTGGATTCGTTACAACCGAGATGCCTTCTGGTGGCATGTGTGAGATGCAGTTATTCTGGGGGGAAGCTTCTTGTGGCTCCCTAAAGCTATACACTGAGAAGATTCCCATCTACCAGGTCTCATCAGCCGAAGAGTTCTACAGGCCTAGTAGGGACCAACACCAGAACCTGGCCACCCCTCACAGAGGCACGGGAAGCAGTGACATTTTGACACCTCACCAGGAAAGACAACCAGAAAGCCAAGGAGTAAAAATTTGGGTGCAGACAGCTTCAGCGTTGCATGCGTGTTTTAGGCTGCTGCAGCGCACTAGGTTGGTTGCTCACCCGGGTGCCTCGAGGCTGCCCCATTTTGGTTATAGGGACCCGGACTTGGGGGTGTTGGTCGCCTTGACTTTGGTTTCGTTCACACCCCCTTGTCCTTTCCATGCTGTAATTCCTGTTCCCCTTCCCCTACTTCCGGCTCTGAAGGAGGGGAAGCACAATCGACTTGAGAATGGTTCAGGACGGACTGAAACATTGTCGTCCCTTCACCTTCTAGTGTGTGGTCTGGTCAACATCCGAAGGAGGGGAAAGAGGGAGCCCCAGACCCCGACGCCGGCGATCCACCCTTCAGTTCTCAGGCTGATGTGTTACTGGCATGGTCTTGTGCCTCTGGCTCCTGCGATTTGCCTCAGATTCTGTGCCTTGTGGCGTGGACTTGTAGTGTGCAAGCCAGGAGTAATATTCATCAATACTCAGGCTGCATGTGCCTAGGGCCACCTTCCCTAGGTGCCCTGTAAGTATAGTACTACCCTTAGGGCTTGGGGCCACCTTCCACAAGTTACCTCGGGATCTAACCCCACTGTATCTTTTACTGCTCGGTACTTGGCTGCCCTTGGAGTCAACTGGGGTCTTTGTTGCCCGTGTTTGCCTCTGGGTAGGGGGGGGTAGTTTTCGTCACTGGTAGGGGCACAGGGTACTGCACAGCTAGTTTTCACCTCTTACAGCGGCTGGCTCTGTTCCGCCTGGGTACGTTGTCCTCTTGCAGGGTTTTGCTTTTGTTTTTCTGCATGGTGAGGGGGTCTGCCTTAGTGGTTGTCCCTTCTGTGTTGGGGTGTATATATCTATAATTATATCTATTCTCAGTTTTTGTGTGGTTGGTGGTACCCCCTTGCTAAGCCTCAGTGAGTGGACACGTTCCAGGGGTTCAGCTATCAGCAGATTGGTTGGTAGTCTTGAGCGCCAGTTTGCAGTACCCTGCCTGGGCTTCCCTTAGCATATTAATAAGGCTACGGTCCCTGGGAAACCCCGTAGGGGCTCCGTGGTCCAATGGATGTGACCCTTCAGTTACCTCTCGCTTCGTGCGAGTCGGAAGGTTGCTCTGTCCCCCTCGTCTCTGAGGGACAATCACCGGTTGTGCCTCCGCCATGCTGCCTGTTGGGTCGGTGATTCTTTTGACCTGGAGTCGTGCGATGTTTGTTGCCTGTACGTGCTCTAGTTCACCCAAGCTACTGATAATGATATGAGGGTGCAGGCGGCAACTGCATTGCATGCTAGGTTTAGGTTGCTGCAACGCGCTAGGTTAGTTGCTTCCCCGGATGCCCTGAGACGGCCTCGTTGTGGTTTTAGGGACCTGGACTTGGGGGTGGGAGTCGCTTCAGCTCTTGTTCCGTCCTCCCTCCCCCCCTTGTCCATCCGATTCCTCCCCCCTTGCTTACGGCTCCAAAGCTACTGAGGGTTTCGGAGTCAAGGCAGGGTTTAGTTGGTGTTGAGACTCGGGCAGTCTCAGGGGGAGTCCCCTTCTGGGGTGATGGCGGAGGCATTCGCGCTTGGTCCTCCTGTCAGAGTTTTTGGGGTCTGACAAGTGGGCCTCCTTCGTTCCTGCTTTTTCGACTGCTCCTGCCTTTTCTTTAGATGCGGGGGTGTGGAGGACAGCTCAGCCCCTGATCCTCAAGGTGAGGTTCCTGGGAGGGGAAGGGTTGATTTGGGGGCCTTTTAACCCCATTGGACCCCTCTTGCATTTTTGTACCCTCGGAGTGGGGCTTGGTGTTACAGGGTGTCGGGTTCTCTTTTGCTCCCTCCAGGTAAGAGTTGGATTTGGCGTCTACCCCTTTCCGGGTTCGATTCCGTGACCCCGACGGTTCTTCAGTTCTGTCTTTCCAGAGGTTTCCGGCTTCCCGAGTCCAGTCCCAGTGGGTGTGGGGCACCCTTGCGCCTTACCTCCTACGAGACTCGGATTTTGCTTTCGTGATGGATCCATGTTCCTTTGTGTATTGATCTTCATGTCCTTACTGGGTTCATTATGAAGTTCCGGAGTTGTCCTGGTTAGCAGACTGCCCTTTCTTCTCTTTGGAGGCGTGGCATACGTTCTGTCGGTCCCGAACGCTTTTGTGGCGGAAGGCTCAAACGGCATTGCAGGTTTTCCTAGGGGCGCACTTGAGCATCTTATTAAGTGCGTGTTTGTCCTTGCCCTTCCGCGGGATGTTGGTGTGATGCAGCTTCATGTGCAGGTTCCTTCCCTTTCGGAAGGGATGCCTACATTGGTTGCGGAGGACTTGCGTACGCAGGGCTGCTGGCCTCATCCCTGCAGTTCTTCTCCCCCCTTGAGCTGTCTTCAGACTGGCTTGTGGTGAATGTGGAAGAGCTTAGGGCCGCCTCTGGGTCTGGTGCATTGCCTTCGGTGGCCTGTACTCACCTAGTTGTACTCACCTAGTTGTGTTTGTGGGGGTTGAGCTCTGGCTCTTTGGTCCCGCCTCTCAACCGTCAATCAACAGGTGTACAGATTCATGAGCCTATCGGGCTCTGTCATATCTACACTTGAAACTGTGTATGGAGTCAGCCTCCACCACATCACTTCCTAATGCATTCCATTTGTCAACCACTCTGACACTAAAAAAGTTCTTTCTAATATCTCTGTGGCTCATTTGGGCACTCAGTTTCCACCTGTGTCCCCTTGTGCGTGTTCCCCTTGTGTTAAATAGACTGTCTTTATCTACCCTATCAATCCCCTTCAGAATCTTGAATGTGGTGATCATGTCCCCCCTAACTCTTCTGTCTTCCAGCGAAGTGAGGTTTAATTCCCGTAGTCTCTCCTCGTAGCTCATACCTCTCAGCTCGGGTACTAGTCTGGTGGCAAACCTTTGAACCTTTTCCAGTTTAGTCTTATCCTTGACTAGATATGGACCTGTGCATCGTCTGCGCTGTTGAATCTGTTTGTGCCACTCCTGCGGGATGCGGTTTCGCATTTTTTTACTTCTGAATTCGCATGTCAGCAGGCGGTGCTCGCTTCTTCCATGGAATCCGCTTGGGCCTCTGGCTCTTAGATTGTTATCCCCTTTTTGTCCATTGCTGTTTGCAGAGTCTGCGGTGATGCAGTATCTGCAGGTGGCTTCAGCTAGTTGCCATCCTATGTCGGAATTGTTGGGCCTCTGGGGGGCTTGTGGGGCTCATGGAGCCCCCGTCCTGATGGGGTCGTGCAAAGGCTCGGGGTTCTTTCTCTTGTGGTAGGCCAGTGGTGTCAGGTTCAACTGCAGCATAATCTCCAGTGCCGTCTGTTTCTGTTCAGTGCGGGGATCACCCTTTGGCCTTTTAGGTGCTCGTAAGGTGCATCGGCCCATTTGCGGTTCATCCCATTGACGGGCGGTGGGGAGGAGGCTCGCTCTGTTTGCTTGTGCCTGGTCCCATGATTCGAGGCCCTTTCGGGTCGTTTCGTGCAGCCTGTGGTGGTGTTCTGTGGCTCCTCCTCCTCTGTGGGGTTTGGAGCTGGTGGGGCAGGCGTCTTCTGCGCTCTGTCAAGTCATATCGTGTGGGTTTGCTTGGGCTTGGTCGAAACGTCCTCGTCCCTCAGGTGGATCTCCCGCCTATCGTGCGGCCCTCCGGTTCATTTTGGACTTGTCTCGTCAGAACCCGTGGGTTTATTGCCCCTCCTTTTGGATGACTACTCTGTCCCAGGTCCATCTTCTGTTGGAGCCGGGTGCTTGGATGGTGTCCCTAAACCTCCAGGATGCATATTGGCATGTCCCGATTCATCCACAGTTCAGGGACTGGCTCGGTTTTGTGGTGGGATGTCAAGGTTACTGCTTTCGTTGCCTTCCATTCAGCTTGAATCTGGCGCCTTGCATTTTCACTCGCCTTACTCTGGTCGTGGTGGCCTGCTTGCGTCTGTTAGGTGTTGGGGTTCTGGCCTACCTTGACGACTGGCTGGTTTGGGCTTTCAGTCTGTCCACATGACTGCTCGTCAGGGATTTGGTTCTTTCCCAGCTCACTGGGTTCGGGTTCTTGGTGAGCTGGCGGAAGTCCCATTTGGTTCCCTCTCGGGTTCAGTCTTGGCTGGGTCTTGTTTGGGATCCTCGGACCGCTTCCTTGTCTCTTCCTCCAGTGGCTTTGCTTCATCTGCGTTCCCGCCTTCATCTATTTCTGAGGGGCTCCCGCGTAACGCGGAAGTTGCTCGAGTGTTTGTGCAGGAGCCTAAACTTCGCCATTATTGTCTACCCACATGGTCGGGTGTGGCTTCGTCGGCTGTTCTGGTTCCTTCAGTGACATCCCTTCTGTCCAAGCCCTTGCTCAATGTGCTCAAGGATGCGTCATCTCTTGGCTGTGGCTTTGTGAGTAGGTGCTCACCAAGCCGGCCAGGGGCAGTGGGTTCCGTCCCTCCGTCGGGCTAACAGCACTGTGCAGGAGTTCGCGGCTGTGTGGATGTCGCTCTGGAGGATTCGGGTTTCTCGCGGATCGATGGTCCGGCTCCATTGGGACTGTTTCCTGGTGGTTTATTGCCTGAACCTCAGAGGTTCAATGCAGTCCTTGGCTCTTTGGGGCTGGTCGCTTCAGGTGACTCGTCTGCTGAGTTCTTGGGGTTTGGTTACCCTGGTGGTTCACGTTCAGGGGGGTGTCCAGTGTCCTGGTGGACGGCCTGTCTCAGTTCATTCCCTTGTCCAAGGAATAAACGGTTGACGCCAACTCGTTCCGTTGGCTCTGCCAAACGTTTGGGCCTCCAGAAGTGGATCTCCTTGCATTGGTGTGGTCGAGGTGTCTCCCAGTATACGTGGCGCCCTAACTCAATTGTGTGGCCATCCGGGTTGATGCCTTTGGGCAGGACTGGGCAAAGTGGGGTTACCTATACCTCTTTTCCCCTGATTCAGCAGTTGCTCCAGGTCCTGGCTCGTTTGGAGACTTACCACGGGAGAATTGTCCTTCCGGCTCCTTGGTGACCGGGCCAGCCTTGGTTTCAGGTGCTGCTTGCTTGGTGTCCGAACCTGAGGGTCTTCCCACGGCTCCCCCTGTTTCAGGAGATCAGTCCTGCCTTTTACGAGGCTGGTTCGCTCTTCTCCTCAAGTCTTCACGTCTGGTCTTTCTGACGCGAAACTATCGCCATTTGTATGGGGCACAAGTGGCTTCGTTGGTCTCCCATCTGCATGCCTCGTCTTGGCGGCAGTATGAAGTTTCCTGGCGGTCCTTCCGGTTTCTCCATTCACTGCGTAGGTGTACTTCGGTCTCTGATTGGGTTGTTTTATTCTTTATGTCCTGGTTATTTCAGGACCATCAGGGTTTAGATGTGACAATATTCGGCATATTCTTATGCCGAATACTGTCACCTCCTATCGTGCAGAGCTGGCGGAGCCACTCCAACTTGCGTTCGGTATTGATGTTAGGTCTGCTCCGGTCTGCAAGTTGTCTTGTGCATTGTTTCATCTCCAGCCTGCTCATGCGTCGCCTGAGCCCTCCTGGTCCTTGGACCGGGTGCTCTTTTTCCTCTTGGAGCTCTTTGCTCTTTGGCAACATGTCTTGGGTTGACATTCGGGCACGGGGTTTTTGAAGGTCGAACAGCATCCTGGCCGCTTGCTACCCTGTCATTGTCCCTGGTCCTCGTAGGGCTTGCGTAGCATTGGGTCAGCGGTTGCAGCCAGTTGTCTTGGCTTCGCGTTGAAGAATGAGGACTGATCACTGCCCGGGTAACCAACGGGGCTCCCCCCCAGAAAACCAGTGTTGAATGAAATGAAATGGCATTTTCTGGGTGAGTCCCGGTATGCCATTCCCGGTATGTGAGTGAGTCCAGTCGGCGGTGTTTTCGGATATTTTATCATCCAGCCTAAGTACTGAAGGGGGTATTGCTGGCATGGGGGTCAGGGGCTCCCCCTTCCCGAGAGGGGGGGTTTGCGCAGACAGCGGCGCAGTAACATGATGACATCATGCTCGTTTTCTAATTTTCGTTTGGGGAGTTCTGTCCACTCGCTTAGCTTGCAGTAGCAGTAATAGTTTCACCAGAATAGGGGTTTGTTTTGTGGCGCCTACCTTTCTGGGTGCCAGATCCGGTCGATGGCAGACATAGTATGCTCCCAAACACATGGGTGTTTCTATAGGCCATCGCTCCTCGTGCCTGTCTTGAGGGGGGCTGGGTTCTGGCTCATGGTCTTCGTAGGCAAGAACTCCAAGCACATTGACTGATGCCAGAAAGTTATTCATATCCATTCAGCTCTGGGGAGCCTCCGGGACTCGTCCAGAAAATGGCATTTCATTACATTCAATGCTGATTTTTTGTTTGTTGCTGTATTGTCTTTAATTTTCTTTCCTGACATTACCAACACTTTTCTGTTCTGGGCTTACATTACAGTGTATTTTTAAATTAATGAATGTTTAATTATATAATTAAACAGTTATTGTATTTTATATTTTTTATAACATTGTTCTTTTTGACTCTACAGGTACACCATCAGCAGATAATCCTGCTCCACAGAGAGGTGGGCCGTCACTACTAGATCGTCTCTCTGCCCAGTCTTCAAGTGCTGTTGCTGCTGCTGCTGCTGCAAATAAGGTTAGATTTTAATACTGTATTGTATAGTTTATATTGTGTAATCAGGAGAAAAACTGCCTTTATTTTACAATCTGCCATGGGTATATGAAGTTCTGTTTAAGTAAAGTTTATTTAGTTAAAGATGTTAACCTGGTATATAAAGTCTAGCTTTTGTTGTTATTAATGGAAATGTTTGTCTTAGTTACAGTACCTGTTTGTTTTACTTGTGTTAAATTTTATTTTTCATTTGTGTTTGAGAGTATGTATTAGTAAATGAATGTGATTCTGTGTGTGAAGTTTTCCTGCACGTTTTCATGAGAGTGGTGTCCCCGCCACTTTTACCTCCGTCATGCTGGCTGTTGGGTCACTGACGCGCCTAGGGAAGGAAGCCTAGGGGCTTCCTTCCCTAGGCGCCTGTGAGTACTGCCCTTGCGTGTCAGGGTTATCTTCTCTGGGGCGTTCGGGAACCGCTCCCGTAGAGGTTCTTGCTGCTCAGCATTTGCCTCGCCCTTGGGGCCAGCTGGGGCTTGGGGCCCTTGTTTGGCCCTGGGTAGGGAGTGGTATTGTGCTGGTTAGGGCGTCAAGGTGTTGCGCGGCCTGTCACCTAAGCGGCGACCGGTTCCTGTTGCTCTGGAGACGGTGTACTTTTGCGGCGTTTTTCTTTTGTTTTGTTTTTGTTTGCCTGGTGGAGGTTCTGCCTCGTGTGCCCTTGTCTCAGGGTGACAGTCACCTGTTTTGCCTCCGTCATGCTGCCTGTTGGGTCAATGACACCTTTGACCCGGCGTCTTGCAAGTCCTGTTCTCTGCTTGTGCTCCAGTTTTACTCTGAGGATGTTCCTATTAGGGTACAGGCAGCATCAGCGTTGCATATTAGATTTAGGTTATTGCAACGCGCTAGGTTGGTTTCCCACCCGGATGCCCCAAGGCTGCCCCGTTTTGACTTTAGGGACCCTGACCTGGGGGCATTGGTCGCTATGACTTTGGCTCCAGCCACGCCCTCTGGTCCTTCCCCTGTGGTTCTTCCTGCACCTTCCCCCGTGTCCGGCTCCGAAACGTATGCGGGTTTCGGCTTTGGGACAGGAATTAGTTGGTAGTGAGACTCGGGCTGCTTCGGGGGCTGCTCCATCCGGGTCGGGGACGGAGGCATTTGAGCCGGTTCCTCCTGCCGAGGCTTCTGGGTCCCACCAGCAGACCCCCCTTCTTGTCTGCCTTTCCCTTGGACTCTACCTTTTCTTCAGGGGTAGAGGGTTTGGAGGATGGCTCTGCCCCAGGTCCCGACTTAGGGGATCCTGGGCTGGGGAGGAGTCGACCTGGGGGCCTTGGGCCCCCTCTGACCCCACTTGGGTGCTTTTGCCTTCCCCGCGGGGTTTATTGTTGCAGGGGGAGGGGTTTTCTTACTCCCTTTCCCTGTATGAGTGTGATTTGGGTTCGGCTTCTCCCCAGGTTCGGTTCCGGGCGCCTTTGGGTACCTCGGCTCCATCTTTCCAGGGGTTTGCTACTTCCCGTATCTCCGCGAAGGTGGCTCGGGAAGCTCTTGTTGCATACCTCTTGCGAGACCCGGGTTATGCCTCCCCAATGAATCCGTCCTCGTGTTAGTTTGGTTCTTCTTCCTGTTTTTAGGTGCGTTTGGAGGTTCTGGAGTCTTCCTGGCTGGCAGACTGCCCTTTCTTTTCGTTGGGGGCGTGGCATGGGTTCTGTCGGACCCGCACACTTGATTGGCGGGAAACTGCTACTTTTATGCAGGTTTACCTGGGGGGCGAGGTTGAGCACCTTAATGCGTGCTTATTCGCTCCCGTGCTTTCTCGGGATGTTGGCCTTTTCCAGCTTCACGTGCAGGTTCCTCAGCTTTCGGCTTCATTGGTTGCGGAGGAGTTGCGCTCCCGTGGGCATTTGGCTTCGGTCTTGTATTTCTTTTCCCTTCTCGAGCTCTCGTCTGCTTGGCTTGAGGAGGATGTGGGAGCGTTAAGTGAAGGGCCTTCGTCCGGGGCGCTGTCTTCGGCAGCTAGGGCGTCGGCTGCACTGTTGAAGCTCTTTGCGCCCATCCTGAAGGAAGCGGTGTCTCTGTTATTTGCTTCTCGCCTCGCGTGCCGTCAGGCTGTGCTCGCCCTCTCTTTGGAATCCGCTTGGGCCCTGGCTCTTAGGCTTTCGTCTCCGTTTTGTCCGTTGCTGTTTGCAGAGACTGCGGTGTCTCGGTTTCTGCATGCGGCTTCGTCTAGTTGTCGTCAATGGCGGACTTGTTGATTCTCCGGAGCGGTCGTTCTCAGCAGTTTCGGAGGGGTCGTGCCAGGGTTCCGGGTTCCGCTGGTCGAGGTGGGCCATTGGTGCCAGTTTCTGAGCCGTTGTTCCCTTCGGGGCCAGCGTCGTCTGGTCGGCGCAGTGATCGCCCTGTTCGACGGTTGGGTTCTCATAAAGGGCGTCGGCCCTTTCGCGGTTTGTCCCGTTGATGGGGCGATGGGGGGAAAGCTCGCTCTGTTTGCCCACGCTTGGTCCCACAATTTGTGGGCCTTTTCGGTTGTGTCATCCGGCCTGCGGTGGCGTTGGGCGACTCGTCCTCCTTTGGGGGGTTCGGGGCTAACAGGGCAGGTTTCTTCTCCTGCGCTTCGTCCAGTCGTCTTGGAGTGGGTGCGCTTGGGCGTGGTCGAAACGACTATGTCCCGCAGGTGGGTTTCCCGCCTGTTTCCAGTGCCGAAACGGGACTGTGCGGATCTGAGGTTCATTCTGGACTTGTCCTGTCTGAACCCCTGGATTCCTTGCCCCTCCTTTCGGATGACTACTCTGTCTCAGGTCCGGCTTCTGTTGGAGCCGGGTGCCTGGATGGTGTCCCTGGACCTCAAGGATGCATATTGGCACGTTCCTATTCATCCGGAGTTCAGGGACTGGTTAGGTTTCGTGATGGGGCGTCACGCTTACCGTTTTCGATGCCTACCTTTTGGCTTGAATCTGGCACCTTGCGTTTTCACGCGTCTGACCCGGGTTGTGGTGACCCGTCTGCGTCTTCTAGGGATTCGGGTTTTGGCCTACCTCGACGACTGGCTGGTATGGGCTCCCAGTCGGTCGGCTTGTCTGCTAGCCAGGGATATGGTTCTTTCCCAGCTCGCCAGGTTCGGGTTCCAGGTAAACTGGAGGAAGTCCCATCTGGTTCTGTCCCAGGTTCGGACCTGGCTGGGTCTTGTTTGGGATTCTCGGACCACTTCCTTGTCTCTCCCTCCAGAGGCGCTGCGGGACCGCCACTCACTCGGCGGTTGCTCGAGCGGTTGTGCGGGAGTCTGAACTTCGCCGTACTAGTCTACCCGCCGGGTCGGGTTTGGCTTCGGCGTCTGTTTTGGTTCCTTCGGGGACGTCCTTTCCGCCTCTCTCACGATCGTTGGGTTCGTCCTCCGGGGGTCTTATGTCGGTTGCTGCATCACCGGCTTCCTCTTCGGGCTTTTCGGGGTTCGGTGCCTTGGCGCCTTCCCGAGCCCTCGCTCGATGTGTTCACGGACGCGTCGTCTCTCGGCTGGGGCTTTGTGACCAGTGCTCACCAGGCAGGCCAGGGACGGTGGGGTCCGTCCTTCCATCGGGCTCACAGCATGGTTCAGGAGTTCGCGGCTGTCTGGTTCGCACTTCGGAGGATTCGGGTCGCTCGGGGATCGACCATTCGGACTGTTCTCCAGTGGTTCATTGCCTGAACCGCGGGGGTTCTCTTCGGTCCTTGGCTCTTTGGGGTTGGTCCCTTCGAGTGGTTCGTCTGCTGGATTCTTGGGGTTTGGCTCTCCGTGCGGTTCACGTCCGGGGAGTGTCCAACATTCTGGCGGACGGTCTGTCTCGCTTCCTTCCCCTGTCCACGGAGTGGACGGTCGACGACGACTCATTTCGTTGGATCTGCCAGATGTACGGTCTCCCAGATGTGGACCTCTTTGCGTCGGCGTGGTCCCGGCGTCTCCCAATATATGTGACGCCCTTCCCCGACTGCAAAGCGTTCGCGGTGGATGCCTTTCGGCAGGACTGGTCGAGGTGGTGTTACCTGTACCTCTTTCCTCCAGTCAAGCTGTTGCTTCGGGTTCTGGTTCGGTTGGAGACATTCCCAGGGAGAGTAGTCCTCGTGGCCCCTTGGTGGCCGGCCCAGCCTTGGTTTCCGGTGCTTTTGGCTCGGTGCCCGAACCCGGGACGTTTTCCGCGGCTCCGCCTCTTTCAGCAGGTCGGCCCGACCCGGTACGGGGCTGGTTCGACTTCCTCCTCTGCTCTTCGCGTCTGGTCTTTTTGACGCGGGTGTATCACTATTTCTATGGTGATCAGGTGGCTTCGTTGATGGTGTCCCACCTGAGAGCTTCGTCTCGGCGACAGTATGAAGTTTCCTGGCGTTCTTTTCGCCATTTTCTGGCTCTTCGTAGGTTGTCTTTTCTTTCGGATCGGGTTGTTTTGTCCTTTCTTGGCTTTTTCAGGACCGTCATTTGATGCCTAATACTGTCGCCTCGTATCGTGCGGCGCTGGCGGAGCCGCTCAAGCTAGCTTTCGTGGTGGACGTCACATCCGCCCCGTTTCGTAAGCTTTCCCGTGCTATGTTTCACCTCCGGCATGTTCATGCTCCTCCTGAGCCATCCTGGTCCTTGGACAGGGTGCTCTCCTATCTTTCCTCTCCTCGGTTTGTGGTGGCCCCTTCGGTTCCTGATTGTTTTCCCAAGGCTTTGTTTTTGTTGGCATTGGTCTCTGGGGGCCGGGTAGGGGAGCTTCATGCTCTCCTCCAGCGCTCTTTCGTTTCTGCTCTTTTGGTCCTGGGGGTAGGTTTGTCCGTTTGCAGCCTTCTCCATCTTTTCTGGCGAAGAATGAGACGGCTGCTTTCCAGAGGGGTCCGTGGGTCATTGATGCTTGGTTAGTTCAGCTGGGGGTGCATCATGTGTTGTGTCCAGTTGCAGCACTTCGCCGTTACCTGCGCGCTTCAGCCGGGGTGGCTGGGGATGCGCTTTGGGTTGATCCGGTTTCCCTTGTTCCCTGTTCCAGGGCTCGGGTTTTCCAGGTTGTCCGCAGGGTTATTAAGTCTAGCCAGCCTGCGGTCTATCCTTGCGCCCATGACATTAGGAAGTTTGCGGCTTTGGCTGCCGTGTTTGGTAATATGTCATGGGCACATATTTGGGCGCGTGGATTTTGGAAGTTTAACAGGGTCCTGGCTGCCCGTTATTTGGTGAACGTCCCTGCTCCTCGGCGTTCTTGTGTTGCTTGGGGTCGCGGGTTGCAGCCAGTTGTCTCGACTTCGTGTTGAGGAGTTTGTGGCCGCCGCCTCCCGGGTAAGTCCCATTTTTCCTTCTCTTTGGGTATGTAGCTCCAGGGAGCAGTAGGGGCTCCCCACAAAAAACCAGCGTTGAATGTAATGAAACGCCATTTTCTGGGTGAGCCCCGGAGGCTCCCTGGTTACCCTCCCTCCCATCCAGTCGGCGGGATTTTTCGCGTTGGTTGAAGCCTACTTTCCGAACTGAAGGCAGCCGGTATGGTGAGGTCCGGGGGCCTCCCCCTCCCGGGAAGGGGAGGGCTGCGCGGACGACCGGCATGGCAGTAAATTGATTGTTTTCCTTGGGATTGTAGGGAGTTTTCTACTTCTCTGTTCGGTTTTTGTTGTTGTTTCTTACCATGTGGGGTTTGTTTTGTTACGTCTACCTTTCTGGGTGCCTAACCCCGGTCGATGGCAGATAAGGAAAACCCCCAACCATATGGGGTTTTCCAGGGCCATTGCTCCCTGAAACCTCTCTGAAGGGGCCAGGTTCTGGCGCTGGTACCTGGTAGGTCTGAACTCCATAGCTAATCTCCCGGTCTAACATAACATACATTAGCCCGATAAGCTCCAGGAAGCCTCCGGGGCTCACCCAGAAAATGACGTTTCACTACATTCAACGCTGGTTTTTTTGCACTTGTATATAAATTTACAGAGTTCCCAGTTATTCTTTTCATATTGTGACCATATATGGATGTAACATTTCTATGTAATATTGAAAATTTAAGGTACAGTTTGTGCATCAGTCAGTTATGATGTATATAGTATTCAGTGTATTACACAGTAATTAACCATAATTTCTTAATGTATCTTTGAACGGTGTAGCAAGATGGCAGTGTAGTCAAAGTTGGAGGTAGTGTGAGTGGTGCGTGCAGCCAGGCTGGGGTTGGCAGTTCTGCAGCAGCAGCAGTGTTGCGGAGTGACAGCGGCACTGGTGGACCACCTCCTAATGTCAATATTGCAAGTCTTAATCTACCTGGTAAGTCTACACTTATGCTTGTAGTTATCTCTCACTCTTCCTGCTGCTCTTCCTTATAGTAGTAAAGGTCTGTTTCATTTGTCTCCTCCTCTGGTTTCTCTTCCCTCTCATCTTATCTTCAATCTCCTCTTCCTCCTCCTCCTCCTCTTCCTCCTCCTGCTCTTCCTCCTCCTGCTCTTCCTCCTCCTGCTCTTCCTCCTCCTCCTCTTCCTCCTCCTCCTCTTCCTCCTCCTCCTCTTCCTCCTCCTCCTCTTCCTCCTCCTGCTCTTCCTCCTCCTCCTCTTCCTCCTCCTCCTCCTCCTCCTCCTCCTCCTCCTCCTCCTCCTCCTCCTCCTCCTCCTCCTCCTCCTCCTGCTTCTCTTCATCCTGCTTCTCCACCTCCTCCTCCTCCTCTTCCTCCTGCTTCTCTTCTTGTATCCTTATTGTTTTTCTTCTCAATATCCTCCTTCCTTTTTCTCCTATTCCTTCCTCTTGCCCTTTATCCTCTATAATTTCACTCTCTTTTTCTTCATCTCTTTCCCTCACACACACTTCTTTTCTTCAAGCTCTTCTTCCTATAATTACATAGGCCTGCATTTTAAAATTGATTTTGTGTTGTTAGAGTTTCATGCACTAACTCTACGTAAGCTGTTTGTGCCGAGTTATAAAACGATAATGGTTTCCCTCAGAGTAAGTTTCCAACTCCGCCTGTATTTGATAAAACCTTGTCTTTCAGTTAAAATTCTCAGGTTTTGAATGGCAAAGAAGTGGAAAGTTATAAAAAAAAATTAATACTGATGTCTTCAGTGATTTTTGCTTGTGTTTATGTAGCTAGCAAAACATGTTATAAACACTAACAGTAATCTGCGAACATGTTAGGCTTTCAATATATTAGGCACATCTCTAAGACTAGCCACAGAACTACTAATATTATCACATTCTTTTCACTAAAGTCTGAATATGACTCGATTTCCATAAGGTTATAGTGTAAAGGAGCATGGGTTCATTTCAGCGATGTGTAGCCTGCCAAACACACACCGAAACTACAACGTTGGTACAACGTTCAGACAAGTTTTAACACCTCATAACCAGTTATAACAACCAATATAGCAAGTTGTAACAACCTTCTAATACGTCATAAACACGTTAAGCCAAGACGTAAAAACTTTAATACAAGTTGTAACACGCGGAAAATAGAGACAGTTACGATTTGTTTCCAGGGAGGTTCATGAAATAATGGCCGAGTGCTGTGTCTGGCTGCCTCGTGCGGTGAACATCATAACTAGCATTCTGTTCATTTATATCTAAACCTTGTACATAGTCTTCATCACAGTTGGTATAATCTATGACACTATTAATGAAAAATAATTGTAGTTAATTAATTTATTCATCATTATTAAGTGGTGGTGTGGCCCCTTGTTGCACAGTTGTGCTGCGTGCTGCAGCTGCGTCTGCCAGTCTTGATCACTCTGGCAGTATTGAGGCGCCCACAGCCAGGATGCAGACGATTCTTTTTCAAGATTTAAACTGTTTACTAGAGTCTTGAGGCACAGGATATGAGCCCCATGTTCCTGCAGGAGTTTTCAATCGTTCCCTATATACCTAAAGGTGCCTTAAGGCACTATGCACTTGACCAGTTGAGTGCCTTTACCATTGTATGGCACACATCATATATTATGGGGAATGGGGGTGCGCACTCCAGCATATCATCTTTGTTAGTACGTCGTAAGATTGAAAACTTGCAGGTACACAGGGCTCACATTATGTTCCTCAGGACTCCAATAAACAGACGCCATCTTGAAAAAAAGTATTGTCTGCATCCCTCCTGGCTCTGACAGCCTTAGTACTGGAAGAAGAAACCATTTTTGACAACCTGCCACAAGCTCCACAATGAGGAAAGGAGCCATTCAGTAGGAAGGATGGAGAGCATACCGACGCATAGAAGCCCAAAACCAGCACTCACACAACACAGAAAAGCACAAGGAGCAGAAGGGCAACCCCACATGTGAAGGGACCAGGAAAGCCAACCAGGGACGTGTACTCTGTCAAAAGACAAGTGATGTGAACAACCAAACCCCGAAGGCCAGAAACAGCACCCAGCCCCTGTGGAGCAGGGAAGAGAGACCCCTTCCCCATAAAGGAACCACTGAGGAACCCTGAAGAGGCCAGTGTGCACAGCCAAAGCCCCACCGACCTGCATTGCGAGCTGCATTAAGTGAGGGTTTTGTTCTCAAGGGAACCGTTATTTATCATTTAGACATTCCATGTCTCTTTGATGTAGTTGACTTAGCCCGAAGCCAGTCTTGAGTAGTTAAGCCCCCAGTTTATTAGCAAGTAAGTTCTTAAATAAACTTTTGTCAATTGTGTTGTGTTGCTGTGAAATCCATCTTCATAGATATTGCTACTCTCCTTGGTGTCTTAACACCTGTACAAGCTTTTTATTATTTCAACAAATGTGATGTGAACCCTAGAAAGTTTTTACTTAATCATGTATTAAGAAACTTGTATGGCCAAAATGAATCTCAACCTGATTAACACCAATCCAAGACTGACCTTCCACTTGAGGTCCCATTCGACCAGTGTACCCAGGTCTTGTATCATTGCTCTAGTAGTTACTGGGCGTTCATAGCTTTTAATGAGTTGTCTGCAAATTGGTGACATTGTATACAGAAGGTCATCAAGAAACAGTAATATCCCACATCATACATTACTCTTTTATACACTATTGCAGAGATACTTTTGATATATTGCATTTGTTGAATCATTTTTATTTGTGTTATTACTTGCCAGGCTTAAATGTAGCAGGCTTGCAGAGTCTGACAACCAACCTCAGTGGTCTTCAGAATGTTCAGGTGACCATCCCTGGCTTGGCCGTGCCCATATCACTCTCACTTAATGTGCCTGTCAGCAGCTCCACTGGTGTCATCCTCTCATCACCACCACCTGCAAGTGTAAGTTCTTTACATACACTTTACATACACAACTTTTTGTGTACATACAACTGTACACAACTTTTTGTGTACATACAACTGTACACAACTTTTTTGTGTACATACAACTGTACACAACTTTTTGTGTACATACAACTGTACACAACTTTTTTGTGTACATACAACTGTACACAACTTTTTGTGTACATACAACTGTACACAACTTTTTGTGTACATACAACTGTACACAACTTTTTGTGTACATACAACTGTACACAACTTTTTGTGTACATACAACTGTACATAACTTTTGTGTACAGCATTTTTGAAACTTTGTTAATTCACTTATCCACTCTTTCCCATTTACCAAGGAGTAATTTTCTGGGAAGTCTCCTGTTGAGACTTCCTGTTGCTTGCAACGTGAATAGCTCCACCCAAATTGATTCACTCCAGGGGACCAAAGGCCAACACCTGGCCCTCCTCCTCTGCCCAGGAAGCAGAGGATAGGATATCAATCAAACCAAGAAAATGCCACTATAAAGGTAGATCAAGACAAAACAGACAACAGCAAGGTAAACAAAACACTGAAAACAAGACTCCAAAACAATCTACCCGGACATTAGTCTGTTCAGAGCACCACCAAGTGGCCATGTATGTAGGAACTGGATTTGTCCAGCTGTCCTCCCTCAACAACACCTCACACGCCCTTATTCTCCTCCCACAATACTGTTTTTGCATTTATTCACTATTCACAGATGTTATATATAAGTATTTACATGTTTTGTTCACCATAACTGTACATCTAAGCTTGTATGGTGAGTAAAGGTAATAAGACGTAGCTACTCCCACAGTCAGCTGGTGACGGCCGCCCTCAAGGCCAGACGCACTAATATTTCTCCTCCAACAATACTGTTTGTGGTGTTATTACACTATATAAACACATTATATATAAGTACATGTTTTATTCATGGTGAATAAAACATGTTCAACATGTTTTATTCACCATACTTGTACAAGTAAGCTGGTATGGTGCCCAAAGACTATAGTGGCCACCAGTAAACAACATGATAAGTCGTGCAGACAACGCACTTCCCTCACCAAAATGGTGGCCCCCAACATACTCCTGTTGCTGTTATTACACTCTAGACACAGATTATATATAAGTATCTACATTTGTGTTCATCTTAGTGAACCACTAAGCTGGTGTGGTAAGTCCAGTCAATAAAAGGTGGCCACACACAGTCAGAAGACGACGCCACCTCCCTCCCTCCCTCAACATTACTCCTCCCTCCATGGAGCACAGCGCTAAGTATCACCACAATCCTGCTATTATCAGAATCCTGGTCAGTTTTATCACAGTCAGGGGTCTTCTGTAATACTATTATTGCTAAATAATAGCATGAAAATATATATTTTAACATTTTTAGGCGATGCTGTGGTCACAAGCTGAATAGCAGTGCTTTGAGCTCATGCTGCGTACGTCAGCCTTGGTGGCTCGCTCAGTACTGAAACTCTCACACCCAAGCATGTTGGCCACAAATTTTTTTCTAGGTGGCGTCTGTCAACTATCAGTCATGGCTGCACTATAGCTGCCCCTATCCCACTTGGGCATTTAAATTAAGGTGCTAGACACTAAAACAGCTATTAATGTATTGCGCAGTTTCAGTTTTGTTTCTCAAATTATCTATATATGTATTGCGCGGTCTAAGGTCTAAATTTAACACTTGTTCTAATGATGTTTTTAGATGTTTGCATCAGATTTGCTGGTGCTCGCTGCTGCTGTGGGTTCAGCTGCTTCTGAGCTGGTGCTGGCTGCTGTTGTACCAGTGCTGAGTACAGCTGTGCTCGTGCTGGGTATGACTGTTGTACCAGTGCTGGGTACAGCTGTGCTCGTGCTGGGTATGACTGTTGTACCAGTGCTGGGTACAGCTGTGCTCGTGCTGGGTACGGCTGTGCTCGTGCTGGGTACGGTTGTGCTTGTGTTGAGTACAGCTGTGCTTGTGCTGGGTACAGCTGTTCTCGTGCTGGGTACGGCTGTGCTCGTGCTTGGTACAGCTGTGCTGGATACAGCTCTTCTCGTGCTGGGTACGGCTGTGCTCGTGCTGGGTACGGTTGTGCTTGTGTTGAGTACAGCTGTGCTTGTGCTGGGTACAGCTGTTATTGTGCTGGGTACGGCTGTGCTTGTGCTTGGTACAGCTGTGCTGGGTACAGCTGTTATCGTGCTGGGTACGGCTGTGCTCGTGCTTGGTACAGCTGTGCAGGGTACGGCTGTGCTCGTGCTGGGTACAACTGTTCTCATGCTAGGTACAGCTGTTATCGTGCTGGGTACGGCTGTGCTCGTGCTTGGTACAGCTGTGCTGGGTACGGCTGTGCTCGTGCTGGGTACGGCTGTGCTCGTGCTTGGTACAGCTGTGCAGGGTACGGCTGTGCTCGTGCTGGGTACGGTTGTGCTTGTGTTGAGTACAGCTGTGCTTGTGCTGGGTACAGCTGTTCTCGTGCTGGGTACGGCTGTGCTTGTGCTTGGTACAGCTGTGCTGGATACAGCTCTTCTCGTGCTGGGTACGGCTGTGCTCGTGCTGGGTACGGCTGTGCTCGTGCTGGGTACGGTTGTGCTTGTGTTGAGTACAGCTGTGCTTGTGCTGGGTACAGCTGTTATCGTGCTGGGTACGGCTGTGCTCGTGCTTGGTACAGCTGTGCTGGGTACAGCTGTTCTCGTGCTGGGTACGGCTGTGCTCGTGCTTGGTACAGCTGTGCAGGGTACGGCTGTGCTCGTGCTGGGTACAACTGTTCTCATGCTAGGTACAGCTGTTATCGTGCTGGGTACGGCTGTGCTCGTGCTTGGTACAGCTGTGCTGGGTACGGCTGTGTTCGTGCTGGGTACGGCTGTGCTCGTGCTTGGTACAGCTGTGCAGGGTACGGCTGTGCTCGTGCTGGGTACGGCTGTGCTCGTGCTTGGTACAGCTGTGCTGGGTACGGCTGTGCTCATGCTGGGTACGGCTGTGCTCGTGCTGGGTACGGCTGTGCTCGTGCTGGGTACGGCTGTGCTCGTGCTGGGTACGGCTGTGCTCGTGCTGGGTACGGCTGTGCTCGTGCTGGGTACGGCTGTGCTCGTGCTGGGTACAGCTGTGCTCGTGCTGGGTACAACTGTTCTCATGCTGGGTACGGCTGTGCTCGTGCTTGGTACAGCTGTGCAGTGTACGGCTGTGCTCGTGCAGGGTACGGCTGTGCTCGTGCTGGGTACGGCTGTGCTCGTGCTGGGTACGGCTGTGCTCGTGCTGGGTACGGCTGTGCTCGTGCTGGGTACGGCTGTGCTCGTGCTGGGTACGGCTGTGCTCGTGCTGGGTACAACTGTTCTCATGCTGGGTACGGCTGTGCTCGTGCTTGGTACAGCTGTGCAGGGTACGGCTGTGCTCGTGCAGGGTACGGCTGTGCTCGTGCTGGGTACGGCTGTGTTCGTGCTGGGTACGGCTGTGCTCGTGCTTGGTACAGCTGTGCAGGGTACGGCTGTGCTCGTGCAGGGTACGGCTGTGCTCGTGCTGGGTACGGCTGTGCTCGTGCTGGGTACGGCTGTGTTCGTGCTGGGTACGGCTGTGCTCGTGCTTGGTACAGCTGTGCAGGGTACGGCTGTGCTCGTGCTGGGTACGGCTGTGCTCGTGCTGGGTACGGCTGTGCTCGTGCTGGGTACGGCTGTGCTCGTGCTGGGTACGGCTGTGCTCGTGCTGGGTACGGCTGTGCTCGTGCTGGGTACAACTGTTCTCATGCTGGGTACGGCTGTGCTCGTGCTGGGTACGGCTGTGCTCGTGCTTGGTACAGCTGTGCTGGGTACAGCTGTGTTCGTGCTGGGTACGGCTGTGCTCGTGCTTGGTACAGCTGTGCAGGGTACGGCTGTGCTCGTGCTGGGTACAACTGTTCTCATGCTGGGTACGGCTGTGCTCGTGCTGGGTACGGCTGTGCTCGTGCTGGGTACGGCTGTGCTCGTGCTGGGTACGGCTGTGCTCGTGCTGGTTGATTTTCTGCTACAAGTTCTTGCAAAATATTGCTTCATTTTTGGCATTAATAATGCACTACTAGTAAGCCCCTGAGACATTTTGTTGTATAACAATACAGCTGTAGTCAAAAAATAGTAAATTCCACGATTATTATTCCACCGGCAGTTAAATACTGTACGTCTCGGACAAAGCTAAGGGCACTGGGTGCATACTGTACAAACACAGACTAGGTCTATACATACATCCTACAGTAGGATGGTAACATAGATTTCTCTTAAATATTCGATTTACATCAAAATTTATAATTTTGGGTTATATATTTAGTTTAGCAACATTATAACGATAATAAGAGCAATAAAAAATACTTATTTTAGAACTGATTTAATTATTTTATTATTTTGAAGCCGTTATCTTGAGATGATTTCGGGGCTTTAGTGTCCCCGCGGCCCGATCCTCGACCAGGCCTCCACCCCCAGGAAGCAGCCCGTGACAGCTGACTAACACCTAGGTACCTATTTTACTGCTAGGTAACAGGGGCATAGGGTGAAAGAAACTCTGCCCATTGTTTCTCGCCGGCGCCTGGGATCGAACCCAGGACCACAGGATCACAAGTCCAGCGTGCTGTCCACTTGGCCGACCTGCTCCCTGTAGGTCACTGAACTGTGGCGACAAAATCGAACAAAACTCCGCCTGGTGTTGTGTGCACACGGATTAGACCTGTCCACTTGCACTGGAGTTGTGCCACCAATAATATGAATAATTTCTCAAATAGCAGATATCTATTATATTTACAGTACTGTATATTTTTGGTTTTATTTAGTTTAGTTTAATTAGGATAATTAAGAATTATTAAAACACCAGTTTAGAAATGATTTATTAATCTGAAACGTTCAAAGTCATGGGTCACTGAACTAGGACGACACAGATGAAAGTGAGTGAAACCTCACTGTAAAGTGAGGTTTACAGTACAGTATTCCCTTATCTGTCCACCCTCACTCATCTTGTTTCATCACAGAAAATGTATATAAGAAG